GTTAAAATTTGTATATAAGATATAGTTATAAAGAATCTGGTCCTATTTTTTATATTATTTTCAAACTATTTCAATATGTTTATTCTATTTTACTTATGCCATATTTTTATATCATCAAACTATATAAAAAGTTAATAAGATAAATAAGATTATATAAAACGTTTTCATATTGTGGGGATTTAGAGAAAAAATGTTGTGCACTATACTTGTTTATGCTTCGACAATTAAACAAAATAAAGTGATCAAACTTTTTGCAATGGAAACTTTATAGTAACAAATTCAATCAAAAATTTTTTAAATTTAATCTCATAAACAGAAAAGAAAAGTTTTTATTAAGATTAAGTTAAAGATTACCCAGCAAACAGAACACGTGCAAACAACGTGCAATGTACGTTCAGTTTACGTTCTGCAGCCGTATTCACATCCCTCCTTTAAACCCTGCAATCGGCTGGTTAAAAGCAAAACGGCAGTTTTAAACGCCAGTGATAAAATAAACACCTATTCTAATGTCTCCGTTTAGTTAACGGCCGGAGAAAATTTAGTTATCGGAAGGCTGTTAACGCTAAAATCTAACCCTGCTTTGCCCTTCTATTAAAACTGCTATGGGAGAAATTTTCTTTTATATTATGAAAAATAAAAAATGGTATCCAAACAAAACAAGCTTATTGAGTTTTTCTCATTATTAACTGTTCGATAAATTGTTTATTTATAGTTGTACTAGAAATAAATAAGATTACTTTTATGCTAAATAAGCTTTATTATATAAAAATATATTACATTTTATGTTATAAAATAAATTTTATTTTAAACTATTAAATTTTTTTAATAAAAAGATATATTATATTATAATATATAATATATTATAAATAAGCTTTATCATATAAAAACAATTATGTATTTTAATTAGACATTTATTGTATTTTATAATAAATACATTCATTTACCATGAAATCAAATGAATTTTGTTTAATAGTATATACTACTACGAGCACATATTTATATATGTACGTATGTATGTTCATGTACGTATATATGTATGTACGTACATATGTATGTTACATACTATCATACATAAATACATGGATATATACATACATAAAGTATGTAGCATACTTTGAGCATAAGATAATTGTTTCTTACTTGTTTCTTATCTGTTTATGTATTACACACACATACACAACAACAACAACAAGATATTTATTTTCCTTGTTAAAAATTTACATATAATCATATAATAACAATAATAATAATAATAGAAACATTGTAATTATAATAAAATATAACTAATAAGAATAAATATAAATAGTTATTTGAAAAAGGTGTCACTCAAACAGAAGCCTGATCAAAGGAGTGACACCAAATAATTATAACAATAATTAAATAATAATATTATCTATAATGATACAAATAATATAGTTATAATAAAATAAAACTAATAAGAATAAATATAAATAATTATTTGAAAAGGAAGGTGTCACTCATACAGAAGCGTGATCAAAGGAGTGACACCAAATATTTATAATAATAATAATTAAAAATAATAATATTACCTATAATAATACAAATAATATGATGACATGAGTGTCATTCATAATCAAAATGAGTGACACCAGTTAATTGTAACAATTAGTATAATAATAAAATAATTATAAAAATAATAAATTATAGAAATAATAAATAAGAACCGAAAATCGCTGAGAAAATAAATAAAATAATAATAATAACGATAAAGTGATACAATAAACAACGATAACGATAAACAACGATAAGTTAAATAGTAAGACAACAAATATGAAAACACTCAATAACAACAGCAAACAAAAATAAAAATAATAAGCAAAACAGATCAAATAAAAAACAAACCTTACACAAACAAAAAAGGCAAAACACAAAAACAACAAGATGAAACACAAAAACAACAAAACGAAAAGGCAAACACAAACACTTCTACAAAAAAAAAAAAGTTAAATACAAAAAAAAATCAAAAATTAAGGACAAACTTTAGTTATTTTTGCGAAATAAAGAAAAAAAAAAAAATGTTCTTTTTTCGTTAATTTTAATTTCTTCCTTTTTAAAACTTCTTAATTTATTTACTGATTAGATTTGTTGTTTAGTTATTAAAACTTGTGTTTAAATTTCTTTTTTCTTTTTTTTTTTTCTGTATCTTTCCGTTATAAAAACACGTCCGCCATCGTTGAAGACTCTCCAAAGCTATATATATATATAATATATATATATATATATATATATATATATATATATATATATATATATATATATATATATATATATATATATATATATATATATATATATATATATACATATATATATACATATATATATATATATATATATATATATATATATATATATATATATATATTTATATATATATATATATATATATATATATATATATATATATATATATATATATATATATATATATATATATATATATATATATATATACACACACACACACGCACACACACACACACACACACGCACCTACACACGCATGTATACATATATATATATATATATATATATATATATATATACACACACACACACACACACGCACACACACACACACGCACCTACACACGCATGTATACATATATATATATATATATATATATATATATATATATATATATATATATATATATATATATATATATATATATATATATACACATATATATATATATATATATATATATATATATATATATATATATATATATATATATATATATATATATATATATATATACACATATATATATATATATATATATATATATATATATATATATATGTATTTAAAAACATATATCTATATATACATACAGTGTATGTATATATATATATATATAAATATATATATTTATATATATATATATATATATATATATATATATATATATATATATATATATATATATATATATATATACACATGTATGTATGTATATATTTGTGTTTGTATATACTTACATTTATGTATTATATATATTCTATTCATAATTCTATTCATATACAATGTATATATGTGTTCATGTGTGTGTGTATGAGTGTGTGTCTATATATATATATACTTGTATACGTTTATATTAACATATATACATATATGTGTGTGTCCGAGTGCGTGTGTTCTTATATTAATTTCTGAATCTTAGATTGTCAGTAATGTAGACATTGAAATATTAGAAGTTGATTTTGCACAATAACATGATCCATTGCAAAGACTCAATCGAACTTACAAAGTAAAAAAGAATAGATTTTTTTTCTTGTTGTTTATCAAACAATATTTGTATAACTCAGAACTTGAAATCTTTTTCTTGAACATTTCTCGGCATTACAAATTTTCTTAACTAAATACTTACATTTGAAGAACACAATTGTCTTTTTTATTAGTTTTTATGTAAATTTTTTAACAATTTTTAAAAGATTTTGTTATGTATTGAAACTTATCTATGTATTATATAAAAACTGTTATAATTATTAATGATAAATAATTATATATTATTTAATCTTAGTATTTTTTCACTGTTACCAATAGTTCATTTTAGAACTTTATAAATAAACCTATAAGTTGAGGACATTTTAAGTAAATTCACAACTAAAAATAAACAAATAGTTATTTTATGTGCTTATATTAATATACAAAAAATAAGTTTTACAAAAATGGTGTTACATTAATTGACAAGAAAGTTATAATGCTTTTAAGTACCTTTCTACAACTTTTTTTTTTAAGATATCTACTTTTAATAAAACTGTTTTTTCTTTTATAGATGTATTTCTTTTTTTTAATTCCACTAACTCCTTTTTAGAAATAAAGTATTCTCTTTCAGCCTGTAGCTTTAGGACTTCTTCCCTAAGTTTAAATTTCTCCTCAGTTAAGTAACTCTTCATATCAACAGTTAGCAGGTCGAGAGCTGGAGTGAGTCTTTTTTTTCCAGACAAATTTTGGTCGTTTTTAAATATATCATCATCTTGCATAGTATATCGTTTAGTTTGTCCTGAGTTGTCTTTGTTCCCATTTTCTGATGTAATCGCAGTATGTAGCATTGTACAACTTGCACGATTGATCACAACTGGATTGACAGTATTCTGTATATCGCAAACAAACCAATGCTATTGGTTTCCACCCCTTCCAAACCAAAAAATATTGGAGAATTTTCTCCGTATATATCCAATATTTCCTGGCTGATTTTTGTTAAAATACTGCTGGTCCTCCCCCCGTCAGATTTTTTTTTTGTTGATGAAATCTCTTTTTTGGCATTTTTAAGAAGATTATCCCATAAATTATTCACACTTGTAACTGTTCTTTTATCAAACTCTAAGCTGTTTACAGCATCGGTGATCTAAAATACACATAAGTACCAAAATTTATAATGCTGCCTAAATTAAGTTTTTTATTCAATATATATAATATAAAGGATTACCTCATTCCATACACGATTTCTTCGTTTATTTATCTCGGCTTTTCCATCTTTGACAAAAGAACATCTTTATGTTCTTCAAACTTTGAAATTACCAACCATTTCCCTTCTGAGACATACTCTTTTCCTCTGGCTGCACGTGTTTTCTCAACTTTCATAGTTGATACTGCCATTGTTTTAAAAAAAATTACTAACTTATAATCTCTATATAATATATTAATAACTTATATATAGGATACTATTATTTGTATGATTAAAACAAATATTTTTAAACAGTATGTAATAAATTTGTAATGTAATTAAAATAAAGTATTAAGCGTCTTATGCTTTAGTCTAGACTTATTTTTAATGAATAGTCAAACATTTTAAAGATTGCCTAGGGTAACAAGCGTTAAATACTATGATGGTATTTGTGAAACCTTGCCAAGAAAATAATTTTTTGTAACGAGTCTGTGTCGCAGGTTATTGTTTGTCGCAATAACACGTATATGGTTTAATAAAAATAAAACTGAAAGTAGTAAGAATAGAAAATATTCAATGACAATGCCTCGACTCGTTCGTATGTATTTAGTTTTCGCAGAAGTAAGACGTCAAGAAATAGCAGTCTGGCAAGGTCTTAGATGTGAAAGATTATTTTGAGACCGAACCAACCCACTTGATATTTATGATGATGTTGACTTATATCAAAGGTTTAGGTTTCGTCGAGCTTCTATTTTCTATTTGGAAAATTTACTGAAAACAGATTTACAACCAAAGTCAAATCAAAGTTTTTGTGTTCCGCCAATCTATCAAGTATTATGCGCACTTCGATTTTATACAACATGATCTTTCCAGATTGTGATTGGTAATTCTATTGCAGCTTTAAGTCAACCAACTATTTCTAGAATTATTTGCCGAGTTTTTTTAAGTCTTGCGAAAAGAGTTAATGAATACATTAAGCACCCAACTGATCCACACGTTTTAAATGAGAGCAGAGTAAATTTTTATAACTTGGCAGAATCTCCAAGAATAACTGGATTAATAGACGGCACGCACGTTTGCATACAAAACCCACGCGAGCACGAATATGTTTATGTTAATAGATCATCAAATCATTCGATCAATGTCCAAGCAGGGTGTGATTATAACGGAAAGTTCATTGATATTGTTTCAAAATGGCCTGGAAGCACACATAAAGCAAGAATTTTAAGAGAATCAAAGCTTTGTAAAAAAATGATACATGGCACTCTTAAAGGTATATTACTTGGCGATTCTGGATACCCATGTTTTTGTTGGTTGCTTACGCCGTATCTAAGTCTAACTACAGCAACTCAGCGTCGATATAATATATATCAACATCGATATAACGTGTTTCGAAGGTGGAAAAGACGGTTTTATTTGCTTCATGGAGAGGTTTGAATGACCCCAGAAAGAATCTGCACCATAATTGCTGCGTGTGCTGTATTGCAAAATTTAGCAATAGAGTTAAATGATGTGGACATAAATGACAATCCAATTGAAAGTTATGAAAATAATAATGAAAAACATAGTTGCTGTAAACAACTTTCGATTTCGTGATAACTTTGTTTTGCGACATTTTGGACAATAAGTTGTTTTAATATTGTCATAAATTGTAAAGTTTTTTGATAATAACGTGTTTTGAATAAACTTTTAAAGTTTACGCTGCAGTTATTAATAAAAAAATCAAAGGCAGCGATTTTCCAATTAAACAGCTTTATTGTCTGTTGGCATCGCAACGCTTAAATGACATGAAAAAAACAGCACGAAAACTAGTTAACAGAGCTCGTTAACGGAGAAACTTTAACGGAAAAAATTATCTAAGTAGTTAATAAATGGAGTCTAAACGGAATGATTAGAATACCATCAACTTTCCTCCGTTTTATAACCGGCCGTTAAAAGTTTTTTTCTTAACGGACACTCAAATTCTCCGTTAGTTTAACGGAGAGTTGTGAATATGGTGGCTGAACGTCCTAAACCTTTTTTTGAACCAAAATATTTTTTTTTGGTCAGCGTGGAACGTTTAAAAGACCTCAAAATTAAATTCGGAAAGTGCGCAGGAATACATTAAAGTACAGATCAAATACCCAGCTAAACTAAAATAAAAAACCACAATGATAATACCTTTGTTAAATATTTATTTTTATGGTTAACTTTCCGTAGATATTTTACTAAAAGTAAAAAAGAGATAAATGTTTTTATATATTATTATTCAATATATAAAATAAAAGTTAATGTAAATGTTTTTTATACTTTTGTTTGTTAACACTCATATATTTAAAACTTTTAGAATCAAATACTTAAATAATGGTTTCAAGATCAAGTAAGTGGTATCATATAAATAAGAAAGCGATGCTAGTGATAGAATCAACTGATAAAGAATCGTATGCTACAGAGAGTTTACAAGAATTATCTCATACTTATCCACAAATATCTTCAAAATATCAAATTGATTTGGACCTAACTGATCTAGATTCAATCAGTGATTTAGAAAATTATGTTGACTGTGAGAGTGATGTCTTATCAGATGAATATAATAAACATGCTTCGCTAACATGTTTAAATTTAAAGTTGGCAATTAAAGCAATTAAAGCTTTTGTTTGTGATGCTCCAGCCCGAGCTTATATAAAGAACATTGTTAACCATACTGGGTACAACTCTTGTTAAAGGTGATGTGTGCTTGGTTCCCATAACGGTAGAGTTGTTTTCAATGATGAATTGGATTTCAATAAAAGGGATGGTCAGACTTTTTAACACTATGGCTACCTAGATCATCAAAAGGCAGTTTCTCCACTCGTGAATATAGGTATTGAGTGTATTAATTCTTTTGTTTTGGACTATGTGCATTTGGTTTGTTTAGGGGTTACAAAACGAACTTTAAAATATTTATTGAAAGGTCCTGTTGGAAAAATATCTGTATTACAAATAGCTGACATTTTCAATAGATTAATTTAGTATGCCAAGCGAATTTGCTAGTCAACCACGAAGTCTTCAAGATTTAGATCATTGAAAAGCCAAAGAGTTTAGGCAGTTTTTGTATATTTAGGTCCTGTTGTACAAAAGGATGTTGTATATGAACAGGTATATGAGCATTTTCTCCCGTTAAGCATTTCTATTGGTATTATGTTGACGTCAAATGACCAATTTTGTATTAACCATTTGGATTATGCACGCAATATGATAACACATTTGTTTATTCCTATTTTGTTTATTGTTTATTCTTTTGTATATTTATGGAGAAACTTTTACTCTATATAATGTGCATAGCCTACTCCATTAAGTCGATGATTGTATTAACCATTGTTGCTCAGTCAACAGTTGTCATAAATAATTACTTATAATGTTGCGTTGATTTAAAATTTGTATATATAATTACTACTTTTTAAGCATATGTCCCTTTGGAAATTACGATTAAATATTATTAAACTTTTTTAGTGTATAATTTACATATGATAAATAAAACCTTGAATATTAGGAGGTGTTATTATTTCAATTTATCTATCATATGTTTCTATGAAAATAAAAAAATAAAAAAATTAAAGCGTTTTAAAGGTTAAAACGTTAAAGTATACGTATGGAGAAATATCTTCGTCCTGAAAGATTTGACGCAAATCCAAACTCTTCAACGTCAAGTAAGGAATGAATTCACTGGTTTAAAACTCTCCAAAACTTCTTTTTATCCGCAAAATCTACATCTGATGAAAAGCTAAGAATGTTGATAAACTTTATATCGCCAACTGTGTATGAATACATCTCCGAATCACTAACTTTGGATAATGCAATTAAAGTGCTCATGTTGTTGTACGTTAAACCAAAAACGAAATATTTACACGGCATCAATTAGCAACGATAAAAACAACATCCTGGCGAAACGCTGGATAAATTTCTCTAAGCTCTTTGAACCCTTTTGAAAGATTGCAACTTTAAAGCTATTTACTGCGACGAGTCTGTCCGAGACGTATTTATCACCGGCTTAGCCTCAAGTATAATACGCCAGAGGCTACTGGAAAACAAGACACTCACATTAACATCAGCGTTTGACCAAGCACGTTCACTAGAATTTGCACAAAAACACTCCGAGCAGTATCAGTTTTATGTACCTCAAATCAATACAATCCGTAGTACAAGAAAATACGCTGACAATTAGCAGACTTCACCGCAAATCATGAAAGTTTATTACTTCTGCGTAAAAAATTGCCATCCACGCATTATTTGTCCTGCTAAAGATACTGTCTGTCATAAATGTCAGTAACAAGGACATTTTGCAAAAGTATGTAAATCAAATAAATCATTAGCTGTTGCTGAACCAATATGTTGCTGAACCAATATGTCTGCAACGATAAGAGCTGGAGTCCCTAATTGTCTCTCACATGCTATTCGAAAAGTTGAATGAATGGACAGAGTTTTGCTACACTAATAGATACCAGAAGCTCTGACAATTTTATCAACAAACATATTGTTAATAAGTACAAAATTCCATATATAAAAAGTAACATTTATGTATCAATGGCATCATCGTCACTAAAAACGAAAATTAAAGGCTACTGTAAGGTAAATATAACTTTTCAAAATCAAAAGTATACAGACATCACCTTATCAATCTTACCTAACTTATGTGATGATGTTATTCTTGATCAAGCTTTTATGAAACGACGTAGCAACATAACAATAGTTTGGAGGAAATGGAGGAAAATTACCCCCTTTGTTAGTTTGCAGTCTAAAGAAATCTTAGATATCTCCAGCAACATTGGTTACAAATCTCTCGAATGACTGTCATCCAATTGCAACTAAATCTCGAAGATTCAGTTACGTCGAGAGGCTTTTCATTCAAACCAAAATAAAAAAGTTATTAAATGACAAAATTATAGAACCAAGCAATTCACCTTGGAGGACATAAATCGTAACCACTACAATTGAACGATATAAAAAACGATTGTGTGTTGATTATTCCCAAACTATAAACAAATTCACTTACCTTGATGCTTATCCTTTGCCTAGAATAGACGATCAGATCAACGAATTGTCCAGGTACCAAGTTTTTAGTACTCTTGATCTTACAAGCACCTACCATCAAATACCTTTTCTAAAAGAAGACAAACCTTATACTGCGTTTGAAGCCGACGAAAAGGTTGTACCGATTTACTCGTCTGCCATTTGGGCCAACAAATGCAGTTACTATTTTTCAAAGAAAAATCGACAAATTTATAATTGGAAACTCTTTAAAACAGACCTATGCATATTTAGAAAATATCACCGTAGCTGGTATGACTCAAGCTGAACACGACTTTAATTAAAAGAAACTATACAAAGCAGCCGAAGAAAACAAGCTTTCGTTAAATAGCTGTAAAAGCAAATTAGTAATTTCTATAAATATCTATCTTATAATAGTATAAAACGAGATCCAGAGAGATTACAGCCTCTACTTAATTTAACTTTACCGTTAAACAGTAAATCAAATTACTAAGAGTTGTAGGACTCTTTGCTTATTACTCTAAATCCATCTCTAACTATTCGGAAAAAGTGCGTCCATTATTGCAGTGCTCAACGTTCCCGCTTAATCAGCGAGCTAGAGACGCATTCACACTACTAAAAAACGATAATACCAATGCTGTCGTAAAAACAAATGATGAAACAATCCCGCTTGTTGTGGAAACCAACTTATCTGATTTTTTATTAGCTGCAACATTGGACCAGAATGGTCAGCCAGTAGCATTTTTTTCAAAATCTCTAAACAAACATAAAATACGTCAACCAGCTATTGAAAAAGTACCATACGCAATTGTAGAAGCTCTCCGGAAGTGAAACATTATTTGACCGGACGCCATTTTAGCATAGTGACCGACCAACTAGCTGTTTCTTACATGTTCAACAGAAGCATCGAGGCAAAATTAAAAACGACAAAATTATGCAATGGCGTACTGAACTTAGTTGCTACAGCTACGACTACAGTATCGACCTGGTAAATAAAACCAAACAGCTGATTGTTTAACACGTTCCTCATGTTCCGCCCTACTAAATCAAAAATTACCTAATAACAAAAACTCAAATTCGATATGTTCTTATATATGTAATAAAAAATTAAAGTTAGCAGAGCTCCATAATTCTTTGTGTCATCCAGGCATGACAAGAATGAACCATTTTGTCCGCTGTCGGAATTCGCCATACTCAAAAGAAGAAATCAAATGTGTCGTAAATCAGTGTATCACCTGCTGTGAAATAAAACCTCAACTTTACAAACCACCTAATGCTCACCTCATAAAAGTAACCCAACCATTTGAACGACTTAATGTAGATTTTAAAGGCCCACTTCTAACATCAACTAATAATTGATATATCTTTACAATTATTGACGAATACTCGCGATTTCCATTTGCTTTTCCTTGTCCTGATACTTCCTCTTC